ACATGTCCGTGGGATCTTTGTACTTCGACTGCGCCGGGGAGTAGTGCACAACCACAATGCTGTCTGTATCATGCCAGCCAGGTTCTTGCTTTCTTGCTGCATCAGCTATGTGGGAGTTCAGCTGAATGACGGTGCGAACGTGTTCCTGCTCCAGGTTCACATAGGCTTCGCTCTCATACCTCTTTCCTGCTTGCAAGTAAGCATAAGTAGCCAGCGAGTTCTTGTGGTAGTGAACAGGGATGTCTGACATTCCGTCTGACAACATCAAGCCATCATCCTTCTTGACAATCTCCCAGCCATTCTTGAGTAGCTTTCCGACTGCCAACAAAGGATTGACCACATTCGCAACGATGAAGCATTCTTGCATCTTGACTGCTTCTTGCTTCGAGCTGAACATAGTCAAGTTGATTGCTCTCTTTCCTTTTACAGGAATCTTTCTTCCTTGTGCGTCTCTGATGCCTGAATCGTTCTTCTTCTTCACAGGCACTCCCTCTTTGCCAAGCCACAGAGGAATGAGGCTGACATCAGCGCCACTGTCCAAGATCACTTCTATCTTCTCATAAACAGGACTGCTTTCATAAAATGATTCTTGGACTGCACGGACACAAAGGTTGCAATCTTCTTCGTGCTCACAACCATCTTTCCACCACAACATCAAAGGATCATCTTCTTCTTGGTGCTCGTGTTCTTCTTCTTCTTGCTCTGCATCGCTAAGCTGAAATTCTTCAACACGTAGCACACGACCAAAATAGTCAATCTCAAGTTCTTCTTCTGCCTCCGTGTCGACTTCGAAAACTTCTGGATACTGTTGTGGAGGATCTCCAATGTGGATCATGGAGATTTGACGCACGGTCTTTGCTTGGTTCCTGCTGACGCTCGTCACGTTCGTGGTGCTTGACGTGCTTGGTGCTGCAGTAGAACTGGCTGCTGTGGTACTTTGCTGGTCGTCGTTCACGTTTCGAACATCACCAAAATCTCTCTGCTTCTGTCTGCATTGGGCTTCAAAGTGACCAGGCTTTCCACAGTAATGACAACACTGAGGACCAAAGCTTGCTTTTCCGCGTCCTTTTCCAAATCCACGACCAAATCCTTTTCCACGACCAAAACGACCGCGACCTCGACCACGACCTTTTCCTCTTCCTCGTCCTTTGGAGTTGTAGCCGTAGTCGTTGCCATACTTGCCTTTTCCTTTGGACTTTCCTTTCCTCCATTTTCCTTTGCCCTTTCCTTTGCCTTTGCTGAACTTTCCTTTTCCTTTTCCTTTGGATCTCCAGGGCCTTTTTCTATCATCTTTGTTCACGTTGCTGACATCCATGTCTGCTTGTCCACCGTGGTCGTTGCCGGCGTTGATCAAGTCAGTTGTGGTCCAGCGCGTGTTTTGCTCATAGGACAGGAGAAACTGACGAAGACTTGAATACTTTGTATCATCTCTCAAATTGAGCAACATGTGTTGTCGAAGTTGACCATCTTGCTGATTGAGGATAATTGAAATCTTCAAATCATCTTGCACCACATCTCCTGATGCCTTTTCATACTGCTCGATTGCTTCTTCGAATGCAAGGATGTTCTCCATGGTGGTCTTCTTGTTTTCAAACTTGTACTTCGTGAGGCTAGTCAGCAATCGAAGACTTCTACCACGAGTGTAGGGTTCATGTTCTTCGAGCAAAATTCTCCATGCTTCTAAACCATTCTCCTCTGTAATCTGCTTGATCGTTCTCAATGGGCGACCTTTCGTGTACGAAGTGAGGATCGTGTAGAGCTTCTTGCTAACGGCTTTGTGCTCGTCACTCAAGGTGGAAAACTCAACAGCTTCACTTCTCTTTGCTTCAACGGCTTCAATTCTTGCTAACATCTCTGGGTCCAACGCTCCAATCCAGGTTCGCATCTTGTGTCTGAATTCACTCCAGCCTTCATGCTCTTCTTTGAAACTGCTTGGGTTGAACACGTCGGGGGTCTTGATCATCTTGTGCAACTCGACATCTCCCTTCTCTCTTCTCTTTTCTCTTTCTGCTTGTGCTTGTTCTCGTGCTTCTTGATGCTCACGAAAATCTCGATGCATTTGACCCATATTGTTGATCATGCTTGCTGCCTCGTGGACCGCTGTGCTCGTTCTTGTAGCCACTTGTAGCATGTTGCGAAACATTTCTCTCATCTCGCCTTCACTGGCTGCTGCTGCGTTTTGAGCTGCTGTGCTTGCTTGCTGCTGCTGGGATGCTTGCTGCTGAACTGCGCTAACCAGGTCGTTTATCTGTTGGGTGTTCGTTGCTGTCTGCTGGGCCAAAGATTGCATTGCTTGCTCCATCTGAGCATTCATGGCTTCAGCTGCTTGCGTGTTTGTATACAGCAACACAATGAACATGAGCGTCTTCTTCTGAACACCACATGCACGAACTTCTTGATACCTGGCTCTCCTCGAAACTCTTCTCTTCAAACACTCTTTTCTTTTGCTTTGGATGGCACACATGTTGTACAGGCTGATCCAAGTAACCAAACCAATCGGGGTGCACATCACGATCATCAACACGAAAATAATTTCTTTCTGCTTGTGAAACATGACTGAGATCTCAGGGGCGTAGCTCGACTCAAGGCTTCGAAGGAATCTTCTTGTACCTTCATACCATCTTTTCACCTCAATCTTCAAATTCGTGATGTCGAAGTTTCTTGATGCTTCAAATCCTGCGATCATGTACTTCACAATCTCGAGGTTGTAGTTTTCTTCGTTGTCTTGATCTTCATAGCGTATTGGGGCTTCTTTGGTTTGACGACGCTGCAAACTGAAGGACATGAGCTCCACATGTTCTGTCTCTTCTCTCTCTCTTCTCACATGCACACTCTTGCTGCTTCCACCAAGTGCATGAGTCGCATGCTGCACCTCGGCATGCTCATCCTCCAAGGCAATAGTCTTCAGGTCATCCTGGAGGGAAATCGAATTCCTGGGCAGCGGCTTTGACATAACGAGCTCTGCTTCATCTAGCAATATCTCTGTACTGCTTCTTGCTGCCTTTGCTTTCACATTCTTGATCATCAACAACCAACCTTCTGCTGTAACGAGCCCTGCACAAAGTATAAGAACTGCACTGCAAAGGACTCTCATCCAGAAACCACATCCAGTCATCTGGGTAAACCTCCTTCTCTTTACTTCTGTCTGCCCTTGAATGTAAACATATTGACTTTGCAATGTAAACATCAGGCATGAACTCTTCATGGGCGACAGTCTCGATCTCTCGCTCTTCAGTTGCAATCTCTCGCAAGAACGACCACGCCATTCCTGCTAAAATGCTGCTCATGAAAACCAGCACTGCAAACAGGAACAATTCCTGCTGCCATCTTCCTGAACTCAAAGCGTCCAGGGCACCACTGCTTGCTGCAACTGTCTGCTCTGCCATCTGCTGAAGGTTCTGGAGGCTGCTGGCACACACTTCTCGCACAGACATGAAAACCATCATGCTCCATGGAAAAATCTTCGTCCATCCAGCTTGCTGTAGCATCATCGCACCCTGACTCAGGTGCTCCGCTACCATGTTGAAAAACGTGGTAAACATCATGGCTCACTTTTCCTACCACGCTCTAAAGGCAAAACAACTTTTCTCGCTTTCGACTCTTGAGCCTAAGCCTCCGGTGTCAAACTCGTTCTGCTCAGACTCAACATGCCTTAGGGCATTTGGTGTCTTTCCTACTGCACCCATTCACTGTACCTGGATACATGCTGTACACTTAACAAAGGCATCATGGACATGGGAGACAGGATGCAAACAGTCACTCCTGAAGCGTCAGACTCACAAAGCAAATCCATGATAATCTTAGAGTCCGGTTCCAAAGCCTTGTACACGATCAAACCTGGCCTGTGCTCGTTGATCTCGTGGACGAGCCGGGTGATCTTGTAATCCTTCGGCGACATTTGGGAGATTCCGGGACACAATGGGAACTCTTGGTTGTCATGGATGAGTATCAGGGTAGTCGCGGGATCTGAGTCTGGGCTGTACGAGGGGATACCAGCAACCATAGCTGTGCATCTATCCATCATGCAAACCGTGCGAACACCAGATCGGTAACTGTTGCGCTGAGTAGAGTTCATGATTGCTGCGTAGGCCTGCTTCTCTTTTTCATATGCAAGGCTGCTGTGATACGTTGGGTGCTGCACGACCAGGACGAAGTCGGCTCCAGAATCGATCTCGGTAGACCCTGCGTCTCCTTCCCGCGATGTCCACGTCCGACCACGTTTCGTGAAAGCCACTTCGCTCCAACTCAAAGGATGCATCTCCCGAGGAACCGCAACAAAACGTGGCAACTGCTTCATATTCATGCCCTTCCGGACATCATACAAAACAACACGGATGTTCTGTCGAAAGTTCTCGGCCGTCTGCAACTAATCTGAAGGACCGCACCAAAGTTCCTGCTTGCACCGAAGAAACTTGCTGTTAATACGCGAGCCCAATGTATCCAACAACTCCGCCAAAATGCCACGATCCATCCACGGACCAACCTCGTGGGTGATGTCATGCCTCCAATCATCCGCAATAGCGCCGCTGGTTCGCGGGATCCTCTTCCAAAGCGGTGGTGGCACACTAGGTTCCGCAGGCAAAATACGTGGCGTTCGCGACCTCTGCAATGTCTCGCGAGTGCGAGCCTCAGTCCTAACTGCAGCTCGCCCCCTCACATCTGCATCGCTGCGAAGCTCAGTTGGCTCCCTTCTCCGAGGGATTGGGTCTCGGCCTCCCTGCAAAGACTGCAGCTCGCTCCTCAGGCGATCATTCTCCGCAGCCAGCAGCTCCATGCGCAGCCTCGCATTCTCGGCTTGCAGAGCTGCTTCTTGCGAGGAAAGGTCACGATCCGAGGCTCCTGAGCTCGAAGGCACTTCTCGCACGCGGTCCGTGCCGCAGTCAAGTCGACGACCTGCTGAGATGGCGCCACTCGTCTCCATGGCCCGTACCACCCAGAGTTCCGCAGCGTCGTCTCATCCCAGTTGACATGGGTGTACGCCACGGCTCGTCGCATGTCCTTCAAGACCTTTGCAATCGCTGCAGGAGGATTGGACGACTCCCGGCTGCAGGCTGAACACCGGCCGAAACACGTGCGCATAGATGACCAGCTGTCGTCACGACCTGCATGTACGATCTCAAAATTGCACTCAGTGTCGAGGATAGCTGTAGCCAACTCACAAGCGGCCACAGAACGATGCCTCGCGGCAGTGCAAATAAACAAGATGTAGAAGGTCGGGAACTCTTAGCCACCCAGGTGCGTAGGCCAGCGAGAGCGTTAACCACAGCTGGGGCATGTGCCACCCGTTCCAAAACCGCGGGGTTCCTTCCTATGTGGTTCGTGATAGGCGCGGGATCAGAAACTGCAGCAAGGTCGCAGACGAACAACGAGGCGTTGCTGGGCACATGGGCCCCGAAAACTGATCTCACCAGCTCGAGCGCGGCCCTTTTAGCCTCAGAGTCGTACTGCTTCTGACCATCTGCATATGCCTTCCACTGCGAGGCCCAAGAGTTGATCCTAACGCCCACGGAGCCAATAAAAACTGTCGTGCGAGTACCAGCCGCCCTGCTCGCCGCCATATTCGCAGATGTATCAGGACTCGTGGTGTCGGGCAAAAGATCGGGACTCAAGGAACCACCAGATGTCTCAGCTTCGCCGGGCAAAGTAGTGGATCTCGCAGCGGTATGCAAAATATCGGAACCCAAATCCAAAAGATCGCCAGAGCCCGCGGGGCTGTCTGAGCTCACAAGATTCGCAGGATCAGAGTTCACAAGGCCATCGGTGAAACCAATCTCTCCACCCTTCAAACGACCCTCAAGGGTTGGGGAATCGTCTCGGGGACGTTCGTTGTATGGTTCGTTCCGATCATCTTGTCTCTCATGACTTCGTACCTTCTTGTTCCGGGGTAGCACTACGGGTCCATTCGCTGATGTTGTCGAAAGCTTTCGTACTCCTTTCGGTAGTACGCTGCGGTGCTTCAGACCAGTGCTGAGGTTGATGCATAGGAGGTTGCTCCCTTTTGCACGGGCTAATGGAACATGCATCTCTATGTTGTCTCTGAGTATCGTACATGTGAAGTCCCTCATGTTCTTGACCAGTCCAAGCCGACATTGAGCAAATTGGGAGAGCAGCAAAGGGGCGTTGTTCGACTCCGGAAGAACGTGAACATCCAGAAGTCCCGACACCAAGTTCCTTCCACTAAGCTCGGGTTCATCCCCTTCATATGCCTTGCCCTTGCCGGAACGGTCAAGGTCGAATAACAATATGGAAAAGGGAATGCGTCTCGTACCCAAAGTGGAGGTGGTGGAATCTAACCCGTTAAAGGTCTTGGCCTCCGAACTCATCCATGGAGCCTCAAACCCCAGGCGATGTAGCTTCTGCTCTGTGTTACGCATCCATACGCCACCCGCAACGGAGCTATTTGCACCCTCATCAAGCACTGCGTAAATGTCAGGGCTGGACATCAAGTCTACCTCGGGTAGGGTCAAGGCAACCTCGTCATCCTGAAGAACCGCCATGTACCCATTCAAGCTATCTTCATCCATGTCAGACATCGAGGTCCTCCGTCTCTCGCTTCCCGCAGCTGCTGACATCGCATGACCTGGGAAAGCGCGCGCGCGTGACGGCATGTCAGGGATCTGCGTCGTTGTCGAGGGTTGTGGTCTCTCTTCTTCTACCACTGCTGCTAGAACACTGTCCTGCACGATGGCATGTAGCGTACCCACTTTGATAGACGGTACTCCCCCTGCACAATCTTGCGCTACCAACTCATTCTCTACCTGGGTTCGAAGGTCATCAAGAACTCTCAGGACTTGAGCGGTACTCAGCTGGGTCTCATTTGTGATGTCTTGGTAGATGTTAGCTACCAGATCAAACGACTGCGACGTAGCTGATGCAATGCTCTTACCCTCTGGCTGGGTCTTCTTTATCTTCTCAACATGTCCACAATCCCTGCAAGTCCTCACCGTTACGTACACATTGGTTCCATGCGTGCTGATGTCCTTACACACTCTGCACTTCACCGGGAGTGGAGGATTCGGGGGCTTCTTCTTCGCCGTGTAGTGACTGGATAATGCTGGTGCAGATACTTGTGCTCTGGCCGGACGGTCCAGAGGCTTGAGGTGGTCCCCTACGGTCGAGAGGAATCTCTCGCCTAGTGACCTCTACTGTATCTTCATCAATCTCGTAGTAGTTGCGCACCCAATCCAGATATGCTGCAAGATACAACGAAGGCTTCTTCTCCTTGAATCCCCACACCGCATATCCCGGGTACTTCCACGTCACTTCTTCAAACGACAACCCTGTATGTTGCCCGAACTTGAATCTTTGATTCCCTCCAGGTGGAACAACCTGACTACCCAGATCACGTACCTGTGAAGGTGACAGTCTAGGTGGCGCTTGACTTCGGCGTTGCGCCTGCCTTGTAGGCCATCATGGCATGAGACGTCCCCTGTCCTCCATCGGAAATCACCAGACAATCCTCATCATCATCGCTAGAATCTGACAAAGTCGCAATGAAAGCCTGCTTCGGGGGAACCTTGGGCGCTCCCGCACTTCAGGCACTTCGATCGGGACTTTATCTCTTGCAGTCTCTTCTTCCTCTCTTCTATGGTCAAGCTAGACTTCACCACTGGGAATCCCTTCTGGCCCTTACCTTTTCCCGAGCCTTTCTTGCCCTTACCACCAGCCTTTCCCATGATCATGTTAGCTGCTAGCTGAAGTTGGATTGCTTCGGCTGCGGTATCCATGCGGGCTTCATGATCGCAAGACTCCATCACGTTCAAGGCGGTAGCCATGTCTTCATCCGAGACCTCTTCCACTTGCTCCATCTCGCTACTCTGAGTCACCATTGCATGACTGGCTTCATCGTCATACCAACTCTCCGCCTCACACTGCTCTTCATGTGCGCTAGTGACATAACCCCAGTGTTCTTCTTCTTCTTCATGTGTGTACATCACGTTCTCAGGCATGCTTCCGGGTATCTCTGCCACATACGCCTTCCATCCGGGTGAGGCACTTGAAGAACCGAATCCTTTTCCGAATCCTTTTCCCTTTGGGAAACCCTTCGTAGCACCCTTCCCTTGATCCTTTCCTTTTCCTTTTGGCCAACTGTCCTGTGACCCAAGGATACGCTGACTGCGAAGGTGAATCAATCCGTGATGCTCAATCATGATCTTCGCATAACCTTCAAAGGTATCGATCCCACCGGCACATGCCTTGATCATCAACTGCTGGTCTCTAGTCAGACCGCGAAGTTCCAGTAGCAATTCGGCCCTCAAACTGTCCGAAAGACTAATCCGAGGATCTAGCTGCTGCATGAGCAGCCACCAACGACGGCGCCTGCCGACGTAGCTGACAACAGACTCGGTCTGCTTCCTAGCCAAGGGACCGAACTTGTCCTGACCACTGCGGAACAAAGCCTGAGCTTCCTGTGCACCAAGCGGGAAGACCATCCTCTTTATCTCATCAATCAGAACTTGAAGCCCATTCTTTTCACTCAACTTGGCAATGCCCAAATCCTTCGCCTTTTGGAAAGCATCACCCCTCAAACCTTCAAGCACTTTCAGACTGTTTCCATCCTGCCGCCATCATCTTCTTCTGAATCTCCATCTTGATCAGCGTCTTCGTGGATGAAACCTTCCATTCCATCAAACGACCCTTCCGATCCAGGTCCATGCTCCGACCCTCTCTCTGACGATGCTCCCTTCGGGGTTCTTTCCTTCTTCCCTGTCTCGGGCTTGCTTGAAGTTGTGAATGACTCATCCTTCTTCTTCTTACGGACTTTCCGAGATCGTTGTTCCTGGGCTGCAATCCGTAATTGTGTTCTGAACTCCCACTCATGATAGTCTTCTGGCGAACCACCATAGATGAAACTACCATTCTTCGTGACTGTAGGGGCTGCATCGTACACCTTTTGTCGATATCTCAGGCCTGCGACTGTCATGATCCAAGATATCAACAACCAACTCGCTTCTTGATGCGTCGAACGATCACACCTCGCAACCGAGCAATCGTATCACCACGTCAAATCGATCGTAGCACTCCTCTCGCAATCAACCAACAATGGTCCGACGTAGCCTCAGCCGATCGGTCAGAGGACTTGGGAAAATTGTAGTTCGGATTTCACTCACACACACTCCAACCCAATGGGCCCGCAGGAACCGCCTCCAATACAGGAGCAAGCAGGGCGCACACCAGGAACACACTTTTGCCTATAGCTCAAGGCGCCTTCGATCCAAAACACAGCGGGTATGTACACTATACTACTAAAACATGCTGCATATTGGGCTTCCCTAAACGTGCGTGTTTGCTACGGCATGTGCTCAAGCTTTACACAATAAACGAGGAGGTATTCTCACGCAGTACCTCTGGCATTTCATCTTCTGTTGACGCAAGAACCTTGAACAGCACGCAAAAGCTGCGCGATGGGAAAACAAAGCCAGCGCCAGCTTTGTTCTCAACCAAACTTCACCAAATGTCGGGATATCAGGGAGAAACAGCCTCTCGGACACGATCTGCAGCGAAATGCTGCCCTGCACATCTATGTAGAAGATGGCGCGCAGCCTTACAAACATCCAACTCCTCGCTGCAACCGAACGCTGCCGGCTTCTCAATCAAACCGTTGGCCACGCGCCGACATCTGCGAAAGCCGCCGATAGGCTTGAAGTTTGAAGCGCAGCAACTGGCCTCAGAACAAGGACATACGAGGGTCCACGAATTCCCGCACATGGGGGGCATGTGGACACTACACACGCCTACAAATTCTGATCGCAGAACCGAGCTGCGATGGAATCGCCTCAGGTGCTTAGCACACTTGAGCCGCCCGCTCGAAAATTGTTGGAACGCAGGACAAATGTTTGCAAATCAACGCCCCGCCAGGTCACACGGCGGCTCTCCAAGCCCGCCGCCCACGCCACACGCTGGGCTGTGGCTTCCTGCCAGGTTCGGTTTTTAACGGTTTAGCGTTTAGGGCTGTTAGGGACCTTCACGGAGTTGAGGGACTCGCCTGGACATGGTTTCCTGGCTGCACGTCAAGCGCAGGACCGAAACCTCGGGGACCTGACCAGAAGCAGCCACGGACTCGGGTCGAACGCAAGCGAGTCGGGTCCGGAACGCGAATGCCATGGGCGGATTTTTTTGCCGGAGGTCTCTGTCCTGACAGCCCGAAGCGTTGAAAGTCATAGTCAAATCAAGCGAACACACGGACGCTCGAAAGTTCCGATTGGTCACCGGTCACTGGGCCTCCAGCCACTGCGGCAGCTCCAACCTCCGGCAACACGATGATATTCTAAACACGCCTGGGCGGCGCTACCAACATCGGATGAGGGGCCACCCTCCCATTTGCGACGTATCCTTTTTTTGACTTTGATTCGCAACGGGTCAGTGCAGAGCAGAGACATGCAGACACTTGTGGACCCGCGTAGCGATAGTGAGCCGGCAGTGAGATGCCTGGCAGCTTGTAGCTGCACTTGCGTAAGCAAGCCCCAAAAGTGTGAGACACGAGGCTGGCATGCCGGTCCTGGGACCCAGCACATGCCTATGAGAGATTGGCCCTCCGGTCCGAAGACCCAGCAAAGGCGCTACAGAAACCAACACTGAACGATAAATAACATAAGACCAGCTCTCGGAGTTTGAAACACTGTGGGTGAGAAGTGTGGAAGCAGCATAGTGTAGTAACTAAGAGTTTAAAGGCCCAAATAGATGAGTTGAGTCAGGGGAACTTTGCTGCATCAAGGTGGCTGATGGGAGCTACTAGGTTGCTGCAGAAAGGGCATGTTCAGAGGAGAGCAACCGGTTCGATACCCCTAGAAACAGGCATAACAACAGCAAAAGACAGCAGCCATTAGAACATGCCCTTCCTTCGATCTGTGATTTGACAAATGATCACCTGTAATCGAAGGCAGCGGGCGATTATCAGCAAAGGATTAAGATGATGTGAACTAGACGCATAAAGTGAGGAAAGTACTATTCGCCCACTAGTGCAAGGAGATAAAAATTCCGCAGTAAGACCTCAGCCTCTTTTGAGGAGAGCTCAGCCACTCTCACACCATCTTCAGACATATATCTGTGATTGACACCAATGTGCTCGGCTCGGAAATCATGAAAGAAGGCTCGATAATGACCTGATTGCGGACTGTCGCCCAAATGGTACACCCCAGATACAACACGACAAGATTGCGGTATCTTCCGACCATCCACCAAAGTTGGTATGAGAAGATTGTCAGGGATCTTGAGCGAATATTGTTCTTCCTGATCCGGCTGTGCTGAAGGGAGAACGCATGACTTGTAGGAAAAGAATCCGAGGCCATCTTTGTCTGCCATGGCTGGAAGGCTTGGGTGCCGACCACATAAGCATGATCGGTGCAGAGGTGAGATTGAGCACATCCACTAGATTGGAGGTGGAGTCATAAGAATGGATTGAACCGCCCAATCCTGGACTCGTGACGTATTCCAAGAGGAACACAAGAAATTCAACCACATCCTGCTGTGTGCCTGGTCTGTTCCATGGGGTCAATGCAGTCCCACGTCTTGAGCCTATACACAGCGGTGCGAAACGGGCTGCATTGGAAATCTTATCGAATTTCGTTAATGAAACGAACTTTCGATCACATTCAATTCTCTACCAAATTTTTCACACGCTTCTTTTCTTCTTTCTTCTTTGGTTCTCAATGTGGATTGTCGGAGCTCGAGATACAGAGCGAAACAAATTGAAACACTCAAGAGGTTGTGCAATTGCATTGTTTGACGCTTGCACAGACTTGCACGAGTGTCGAGGTAGTCCGAGACTTCTTGAAACGTGACGTTCGTAGCACTCGTGGTGCTCGTTCCTTGCAACTCTTTCCAACTATAACCACTCTTTTCCAATATTTGGAGACTTCGATTCAGCACCCCGACTTCATCTTTCTTTCCTTTCTCTCACTCTTTGAACACCATCTTTAAACACTTTCGTTGCTGTGAAACATCTCAAGTTTGTGAAATGATCTTGAGCATTGTTGCTTGGCTTCTAAGCCGCTGGACCTTCACGATCTTTTGCCCTTTACAAATCACTCGGTTGATTTCGAGCGCTTGGGCCTTCGTCTCCTCTTCGCTCTTCTTCCAATCCCTTTTTCTTCTTCTCCTTTCCTTTCCTTTTTCTTCTTTGCTTTTCGACTTCAGCCACATCCGCCTTGCACTTTAAAGTTTCCTCACCCCGAGGGTTTGGAGGTTGTGGCGACTCTACCATGCTCGTTGAAAGGTGGCACAGCTACGGGGCCTCGAGACCTCAAGTCAAGACAACACTCAACCCTTACAGCACAAAGTGCGGACTCTTTTTACTGCGTTGTTTGCAAATTCTCGAGCTCCTCTTGTCAAAACGCTCCTAGCACCTCTTCGGTGCATTCGTCACGGACTAGTGTCGGTCTTGGCTCGCAGGTCGGTAATGCTCTTTGGTGGTGTCCGTTACCGCGTTCATTGAAGGCATCTTGAACACTTTGCCTGCAGTCTTATTGCCCGGCCAGGAGGGCGCCCGCCTTCCTGCAGCAAGCAAGCAGTGGGTGGACCTCTCAAAACCAATGCCTCAAGATTTTCAGAAGGCCCAGAAATGATTGAGCCTCTCAAATGCTTTTCACCTCTAGTGTCGAGATCCACAAGAACGGCCTACTGCGCTGCTGATGTAGTAAAGAGGCGTCGGTTCAAAAAAAAGCGCTCCAAAGCTCTTGCTTCGTGCTCGATCTCCTTTGCCTGCTTTCTTGTCTTTCCTTTCAACTTCCCACCTTTTTCGCCTTTGTTCCCCTTGTCGCCTGTCTTTGTCTGGACTTGTCTCCACCTTTGCTGGAACTTGCTCATGGACTGACAAATCAAAAACCAAAACTTGGCAGAACACGCTACTGATCGCTTCCTGCAACTCCGTAGCACTCTGCTCTCTTGTTTCTTACCAGAGTCACCTCCTTTCCACTGGTCCAGATGCGCTTGAGGCTCCTCTGGGTGTACTCGCTGCAGACAAAAGTTCCGGCTGCTGTTCTTGCAGCATTTGCAGCATCGTACTGCCAAGCTGAAGTGTCGACGTCAACATGGCACTCATCTGTTGCAGCTGAGCTGCTCGAATCTGCTCATGCTGTGGTTGCAGTATTGCTCTCGTCATCTTCAGTAGTAGCAGTAGTAGTAGTAGCAGTAGCAGTAGTCGAAGTAGCAGTAGTAGGAGTAGTAGTAGTAGTAGTAGTAATAGTAGTAATAGTAGTAGTAGTAGTAGTAGTAGTAGTAGTAGTAGTAGTAGTAGTAGTAGTAGTAGTAGTAGTAGGAGTAGCAGTAGCAGTAGCAGTAGCAGTAGCAGTAGCAGTAGCAGAGCAGTAGCAGTAGCAGTAGCAGTAGCAGTAGCAGTAGCAGTAGCAGTAGCAGTAGCAGTAGCAGTAGCAGTAGCAGTAGCAGTAGCAGTAGCAGTAGC